ACATATATATATATATATATATATATATATGTATGTATGTATGTATATTGTAATTTTCGAAAAATAATTGTACATATATTCCACACAGAAAAACGGAAAAAAGAGATTCAATAAAAATATATATCCAATTTTATATTTAAAACTTTATAGACATTATGTGATATCTCATATGCCCTCGTTGCCAACATATATATCAAGTTTAACACGTGCTTAGTTAATTTGACAGAAGGAAATCGATAAAATATCTCTGACTTATAGAAACGTTAAAAGCTCATATTTTGAAAAATTGCTTAAAAATATACCTATTAATAAGAGACCACCGCTTACGTTAAATAAAATACTACAAGAAAAACCCACTACTACAAAGTCTTATATAATCTGTACTTCGATTCTAAGGGTATTCCTGGCTCAGAAATACTACACCCGCCATTATTTCCTTGAGGGCGCGACAGGTCTTTAGAGGCACCATTTGTTCGACACGAAAGCGAGACGAGAAATTGTTATCTAAAGAAAGTCTCCCTCGCTTCCCTGGTGGTCTATCATTACTAAAGGTCATCTCCAAGATCGTTCCCACTCCACAAAGTGAAATCAAAATCAAATAAAAGAGAGTGTTCAGCTGTTGGAATTACACCCCAACTTCCCCCTGATCTGTCTATATTTCTGAGATGAGGTATTATGTACTCTATCTACAGTATTCGGACTGCTGTCCTCATATTTGTCGCCATGTTTATTACAACGTTTCGGCCGTTGTACGCTCCGGCCTTCTTAAGGTGGTTGGAATGTCAAACTAAACCCTTTATTTCGCTCACTGGGTTAGACTGTTCTAGTTCCACGTGCCATGTTTAATGGATGTCAGTTATCAGTCATCTCCTGTTAATTCCCCTCTCCAAGTTCTTCACTGCCTTAACCGGGTATTGAACTCACACTCTTTGCGTCCTGTCACTGGATCTAACTAACGCCTTTACCCACTCAAGGACATCTCTGTATGAATGTCCGGGTATTATAAACATAATTTCTTCAGCAACCATGGCACAGTGGATAAAGGCGTTAGTTGTGACCAGTTAGACAGGACCGAAAGAGTGTGAGTTCAATACCCAGTTAAGGCAGTGGGAATTAACAGGAGATAAGGAAGGCCGGAGCGTACAACGGCCGAAACGTTGTAATAAATACGGCGGCAAAGATGAGGACAATAGTTCGAATAATGTAAATAGTATCACCCTACTCGATTTGAACTAGAGGTAGAGCAAGACATAAGAGGTTGAGTAGGTTTTATGCTGGGAAACTCCATTGCCCTTAAGCGATTGACCAACCTGCCGGTCACACAAGCCGTACCATCAATATGTTCATTCTACAGTAAACGGTGTTCAGTGCCTATGTCCAAACCAACAAACTGGTAAAAACAAGTTCTCTATATGGAATTCTTACAAATATCCCATCAATCGATAAAATCATCAGTCGATTATGCCAAAATTTATCTGGGAATTATTTTAGCAGAAGACAGAAAGGGCGAGACTGAAAATCCAAAGATGCAGTAACAACGGACATTTACGTTCATATAAGAATCGTATATTGTCAAAACATTGTTTCAGAAGAAACATATACACTTCTTCTCAAAACATCAAAGCGGAAAACTGAAATGAATCTAAGATTATTATGTGTAGCCTTCTTACAAATAATATAGCTATCGATAAAATAATCATTCTTGAGGAGGCTAACGCCACAGCTGGGTCTTCGATTCTTATAACGATGTACGTGGGAAAGACGAAATTCGAAAATGCAGTTTCTATAAACACGACCTAATTTAATTCTATGTGGTATAAGAACTGTGCATAAAGAAAACAATTCAGAAGGGGGTTATGTAGATGCACCCCAGCTCAAAACACTGATACCACTCGTGCGCCAGTTTGCTTGCTAAGGGCGCACTTTTACAACGAATATCATTTTGCGTTGTAAAATCAGAATTAATTTCAAAACTCTACTATATACAAAACCTGGCAGAATGCAAGGGTCTTTTCCTAAACACTAAATTCCTTATATAAAGTTCTTTTCTATGTGTTATGGTCCGGTTCCTTGTACCACGTTTATAGTCCAAGGTAGAACCAATAAAGAAGAACTCGAACACAGGTATGGAATAACACAGATATATTACAAACAGGAATATATACAGAGAAGTAGAAGTGTTAGTATGAACAACCAGTTTTAGAGAGAACAATGTAGTCTCGACCAGTATCACTATTCCAATGTCTTGCAGTAATTGTCTGAACGCGACTCTGTTTCGGACCGCCTCTGACTCGACTCTTGACTCGACTCTTGACTCGACTTGAACTACTGACTCTCGCCTTCTGACTGACTCCTTGCCTACTCCTGAGGCGCAGTATTTATTAAGTATGGAATAGTCCATTATTATTATTATGGATAAGATCCTATAATACTATGATAATAGGCGATTGAGTAGGGCGGACAGAACCGACCAAATGATGCCATCATAAACGGTTGGTCAGAGCGCGTTTGCACGCCTCAGTGCCAATTATGGATTCAGGAGTCCTACAACATGAAAAACTGAAACTGGATGAGGAACCAATACGCAATGAAGTTGTAAAAGTAATGAAGCAACTAAATTATGTTGGCATCATCCTTCCCGAGACCTGCAAACACGGAGGCCCGGTTTTGCATGAACTTCTTTACTTTTGTGAACAAGGTAAATTACCTGAAGCCCTCAACAATGTCTTTTTCATAAGCCTTTGGACTGAAACTGGATGAGACACCAATACTATAAGAAACTCTAAAAGTAATTAAACAACTGGAGTTTGATAAAATCGCAGATGCTGGCATTATATCCCCAGAGACCTGGAAACTCTATTTTGTATGAACTTCCTGTTTACTTTTGTGAACAAGGTAAATTGCCCCGTGCCTTCAACAATGGAGTCATCATGAGCCTTTACAAAGACAAAGGAGTAAATTTGAACCGTCTAAATTAACGGGATATCATTCAACTATCGATCGCAAACAAAATCCATGTAAACGTTCCGCCAATAGACGAGTAACTCAATATGACAAAGATCACTACTTGGGTAGCCAGTTCCGTTTCAAATTAAACATTGATATGACCAATTTAAAATATATACAATAAAATGACATCTGAAAAAAAAAGGATTGAATGTCACCTTAGCTGACTTAATAAAGGTGTTCAACAGAGTAAGCAGGTCGATACTTTGAATAATGTAAGAAATTGGTTACCCACCAAAGTTTCTCGCCATGTTTATCCAAGACGAGAAAAAAACTGCTTAAGACAATCAGATGCGGAAATGGCTTCTTCAAACCCCTTCTAAACACAAACTGTATCATACAATATGATTAAATATAAGATATTATATTCAGTATTCATCAGCATCATGATAAGATAAACTACAGAAGAGGAGGATAGATCTCGTACATAAATACGGAAACCTGTTCAACATGACGCGACTTTCGGTCCATATCGAGACCACGGTGCAACTATCTATAGAAGTTCCGTGCATGTATGACGAAAGTTTGGTCGCTCAGAAGTGACCTCTCAACAGTTAATGCCCTGCTTTGTAAAAAGAACAGAACTACTTAGCATGGAAATGAGTTCTTCATCAGCCAGCACCTAAATAGAAATATAACGCCTCTTCAAGTAGCAGTTCAAGGCTTCACGCACCTTAATTGCGTCACCTCCACCAACGCTAGGTGAGACAGACGGAAAGACCGACAGACAGAAAACAGACTCAAAAGTTTTAGAAACTTCAAGAACCTATCTGGAGGAAAAAATCTTGCAGGAATGACAGAAATCAACGGTTTATAAAGTCACTGTCTTGAACACTTTTTAATAGATTGTTTCATGTGAAATGTATTTTCGTTTACTTTAATTAAAAAAAAAACTTGAACAAGGTTTATTGGCATAAGACACTGCTTATTAATTTTTAATCCCTTTTCTGGTTTGTTTTCAACTGCTGCTTTCCATAAAATATTATTCGCTGACTCCTGACAAATAATTTTTGAAAAATATTGACTACTCATAATATGTGTTCAAATTAGGTCACAAGACAAATTTCAAGAAAACATCAACTAGGCGTTTAGCAGTTAAATTCACGCCTATACAGGGATAGTTTCAGATGTTTCGTTCAGGTGACAAGATATCTGAAAATGTACCAAGTAAAAGACTTAAATTCAAGCATTAAAATGATCAGTTGAATACATTAGTTAGATAAAATCCGAAACTAAGAGTCAATATGGACTAGAGATTAGAGATTATATAATTTTCATCCATGAGACTATATCCCCTCACATTTCACGCTCCAGAATTTAAGATTTGCACTGGCTTGGTTCTGAGATTCTAAATAATCTCTCCAACAATTCACCGAAGTAGCCGAAGATTATTAAGACAAAGAATGGACATATTTCTTTAAGTCTGATAAACGGCTTAGAGTTAAGTTGGCAGAAATGCGATGATTAAATAAAAAGGAATTTGAATCAAATGAAAACTTTTTAATTTTACTTTTTTAACCCATCAAAATATGACATTTCATATGAAACAACATAAAGGAAGCGATGGATAAATTGTCGTCGAAATGACGCAAAAATGAAAATAACACTGACATCTCATTTTTAACAGATATATTTACGAAAATTATATAAAAATACATAAAAAAAAAGTATCTTGATATACTAAAGAGTAAATCAATTCAGTAAAATCGTTATTTGCTTCAACCAAGGCCTCTAGACGACCTCTGAATCTCCTGCAACTCTTCTGAACTGTTTCCTTGTTTAAGTTGCTGAATGCTACCATAATCCTTGCAGTGACACACAGGTTTAATTTCTCATCACTGAAAATAATCTAAATTGTCTTGTAAATCTCGATAATCATTTTCTACACACACATCGAAAACATTGGCAAATACTTTCATTAATCATCACACATGAAAAGAAACGTTATAAAGGAATGTTATACTGAACAATTTTTATTTCGTTTTTCGTTGCAGTTATGGCCAATTTATTCAAGGGTAAGAAGCTTTTCAGCGGTGACAAGCAGGTCGATTCATCCGAGCTGCAAAATAAGATTGTTGGCATTTATTTCACCGCCTGCTGGTGTCCCCCTTGCCGTCAGTTCACTCCAATACTGAAAGAATATTACGAAGCATGGAATGGAGAACCTTTTGAAATCGTCTTCCTCAGCTTTGACCGTACCAGTGAAGATTGTGACCTTTATTATAAAAACAATCATGGTCCATGGCTCAGGATGGAACACAATGATCCATTCGTTGAGTAAGTATTATACAATCAGGTATTTTAGTAATTACCGTAGACAACGAAAAGACAAATAAAAAGGCTTATTTATTAAAGACATATTTATGTTTAACGTTCTTTTTATTAAAAATGACTTTAATAAATAAATTGTCGGACTTTGTCCATTTCTTAATATATAAAAAGGCTTAAAAACTCTACCAAAATTTATATAATTAAAAAATAACTAGTGAATTGCAATATAAAATTTCTTTTCTTACATAGAATTGGAGGGATTTACTTTTGAAAATTATACTCCCATCTGTATCAGGAAATACATGTTTTTGTTTTTTCTTTTAATCATTTCAAGGTAATAAAGCCACTAAGACGCAAGGGGTTAGTGAGCGTTAGAGAATATGAGAAACAAGATAGAACAATAAAAAAAGGAGGAACAATAAAAAAGACAGAACATAACGACTGACATTGCATTTTAATTTTTGAAGATCAAAGTAGACTAGAAAGCAAGAAGCCACAAGAGAGTTCCATTAGCGAGATGTGCGATAGAAGAAACGGTTAGCATAGAACTTCTAGTAACATCTAGTAATTTGAACTGTAAAATTATGAGACCATTCCGCCAATCTAGTACTGCTCTTAAATTCATAAAGATTAGGTACTATAAAGGAAAGTTCATCAGAACAATTACCATGAAAGTATTTATAAAAAAAAGTCATAGGAAACTTCATTATGGCGGTGGAAATGGACTGAAACCGAGATGCCGGATCAGGGCCAATAATATTGCAGATTCTTCTTTGGATTTTATCAAGAATCTCTAAATATATAGGAGTATCACCAAACCAGATGTGGCAACAATATTCAAAGTATGGATGATTGGTAGACTTATAAATATGTAAGATAGATTCGGACGCGAAAAAAAATTGCCTAACATTATACAGTGAAACAACCTTATTACTTGCAGATTTAGAAAATGATTCAATAAAATATTTCCACTTCACGTCGACGGAAAGCTTTAGTCGAACACGGCGCATTGAGTCCCTATCTTGGAGGTTAGCATCAGCCATGAAAGGTAAAAATGGTTCTCTTAGATGATTGAAAGGGAGAAAATTTGTTTTGCAAGCGTTAAAATTAACAAGCCATTTCTTGCCTCATTTAACAACAGGTTTTAAGTTATTTTTTAGATCAGCTTCCAATTTGACGTTATCCAACCGATCAGATTTACTATTAAAACAGGAGGATAAAAAATTTCATCCGCATACATATCGAATTAAGAATTGATTACATCAGAAAATAAATATCTATGTAAATATCTATTTAAAGGCCAATTGCTAAAAAATATCAAAATTTTCTAAAATCAAAAAATTACTAAATTTTGATTAAAATGTCGATATTTAATTATTGACTATTAATGTGGTTTATAAAATAATTATTTCTTAAAAGTAAAAAGAAATATTTAAACTATTTCACCAATTTTATGATATTCAATAGATGTCAATAGGAAACTAAAGGTAAATATACTGTAAAAAATGAAGCCCTGAATAATCAGTTTATTTTTTTCTTCATGCGCTGAAAGCCTGGAATCTCAAAAATTTAAAACTAAGATATGAAATAATGTAACGATATTTTTACAAGACTTTTAGTTTTAGATATTAAAATATTAATCATATTTATTGCAAATTATCAGTTAACCAATCTTTTTATATTTATCCTCTTCGGAAGTAGTTGGTTTGTTAAAATGACGGTTCAATATTAATCAAGAAGTGTAAGAATTATCCACAAAATAATAAATAATTTTAATTTTATAAGTTTTAAAACTACTTTTTATTAATTACGTGTTATGCGCTATATATATATATATATATATATATATATATATATATATATACTAACATCTCATTTTAACAGATATATTTACCAAAATTATACAAAATATACTGAAATACTAAAGAGGTAATTTATTCAATATATATATATATATATATATATATATATATATATATATATATACGGAGAACTACATTGAGTCCCTTGAGGAGTTAGTTCTGCCCTGGGTCAAGAGGGCGTCTGTTAGAAGACCCTATGTCTGGCAACATGACTCTGCACAATGCCACAAAAAAATGAAAACCCAGTCATGTCTGTCAGACAATTTCTGTGACTACATCACCCCCTAACTCTCGCCACCTAATTCTCCAGACTGCCACCCTCTTGATTATTAGGTGTGGGGCGAGCGAGAGATCAACAAACCTTGTAACACCAAAAATGAACTGAAGGCAAGAATTATGGCTGGATTCACCAACTTAAAAAAGGAGACCGTCCAAAAGAGTTGCAGGAGATTCTGGAGTCGTCTTGAATCCGTGGTTGAAGCCAATGGAGATTTTATTGAAGAAATTTATAACTTGTATTCCCTAAAGAAACTCTGTATAGCGGCCAAAACGTGAATATGACAAGAGAAACGAGAACAACCAGCCTAATTTCAATAATTGTTCATTAATTAATGTTCTTATTTAAGGAAAACATCATGTATAAATACATAAATAATAATAATAAATAATAATAATAAATAAATAAAAATAAATAATGAATAATAATAATTAATGATAATAAATAGTAATAATAAAAAATAATAAATAATAATAAATAATGAATAATAATAAATAAATAATAATAATAAATAATGAATAATAATAATTAATAGTAATAAATAAATAAAAAATAAATAATAATAAGTAATGAATAATAATAATTAATAATAAAAACAATAATAATAAATGATAATAATAAATAATGAATAATGAATAATAATAAATAAAATAATAATAATAAATACTAAATTAATAATAATGAATAATAATAATAAATATATAATAAATAATAATGAATGATGAATAATAATAATTAATAAAAAATACATATAAATAATAAATAATAATAATAATAAAATAATAAATAATAATAAATAATGAACAATAATAAATAAAAAATAATAAATAAATAATAATAAATAATGAATAATAATAATTAATAATAATAAATAATAATAATAAATAAATAATATATTAATAATAAATAATGAATAATAATTAATAATAAAAAAGATAATAATAATAATAAATAATAATAATAAATAAATAATAATGAATAATAATAATAAATAATAATAAATAAATAATAAAAATAATATATAATGAATAATAATAATTAATAATAATAAAAATAATAAATAATAATAAATAAATAATAAGAATAATTAATAATAATAAATAACAATAATAATAAATAATAATAAATAAATAATAAATTATAATTAATAATGAATAATAATAATTAATAACATTAAATAAAAATAATAACAAATAATAATAAGTAAATAATAAATTATAATTTATAATGAATAATAATAATTAACAATAAAGAAAGAAATAATAATAACAATAATAATAACAGTAATAATAATATTAATAAATGAACACAGAGTGATTTCTATAAATGAAAGCATGCGCATAAGATATTAAGTAATATGCACCGTTTGGCTGACGGGAAAATAAAACTTGTGGCTATATCACGTTTAAACATAGATACCCAAATTTAAGCAACGTCAAACCTTGTCCCTACTTAAATGAGTGACCGCTAGAGGATACCAAGTGCTGGATTTACGGGTGGTGTAATGGATAATGGCTCGGAATTGTTAATCGGACAGCTCAGTTCTAATTCCACCCGGGCTCGTTGGGGACGGTAAGAATATACCTCTTCTCTCCAGCTGCGGGTTAATCAATTAACTAAATTATTATTATGTAAAAAAAAATTCTTGAAATCTAGATATATATTTTCTGGCTTTAAGTAACCTGAAAAGGGTTGATAAGCCGTAAAAAACGAATCAGTCAATAAATGAGGGTAAATAATCAGATAAAACATTTTGGGGTTTGCATGGCAAAAACAGAAAGCAGTTTTCTTTAAAATGCTTTTTTAGAATATAACTGATTAAAATAAAATAGAATAATCAATAATAAAACCAAAGTTGTTATTTGCTGTACAGTTAATATGTTTTTCTTTTTTCTTTTTTTTCTGTTCATATAGAGAACTGAAAAACAAATACAATGTGACCGGTATTCCCAAGCTGGTTATAATCAACCGCAAAGAAGAGGTTATTTCTCTGAACGGACGTGAAGATGTCCAGGATAAGAAACTTGATGCCATGAAGTATTGGAAGGATGCGAAATGTTCTTAACTTTAATTTACAACAAATGCACATCTAGAAATCCGTTGCTTTTATGAAAGAAGAAAAAAAGAAAACAGTTTTCGCAACGAAATGCCATCCAACGATTTTAAGTGAACGGACGTAGGAAGTATTAACATTTCATATGGACGATCTGTTAATGTTTCTTTAAAAAAATAAAAACATCGGCACTATAGGGGGATATATATATATATATATATATATATATATATATATATATATATATATATATATATATATAGATATATTACTAATTTATATAATTTTTTATTTAGGTTTCATTTCCAGTAATTTATTAATAGTTGAAATGTGTGCCGTTTCATTGGGTTTCTGTATTTCAAGATTGGATTATCCTAATCCACAAGAAACAACTTTCCTTCTGAAAAAAAAAAACACAAACTTATGCTTAATTGATTTTTCTTTTCTTTTTCTTTTTCTTTTTTTGTTTTGTTTTTGTAAATTTGAGAGGAAAACAAAATTTTCCATCAAGCTGTTTTATTTATTTATTTCAGCAATTTCTTAAAATCATTTTTATCTTTCACGTACTGTCTGCCATCAGAATTTATATGCAATTGGTAATAGAATAAAGATTTCTTGTTTTCTCCATACAGTTTCTTATCTTCTTTTCTTCTTTAACCATATATTTTTCTAATGATTTCATACCAAGCAAGGCAATAAAGCCACTAGGACGCAAGGGGTTACTGAGTGTGCGATAATATGAAAAAAAAAACTACTATTCATGATAGAGGGCAATAAAAGAACAAGAATTAAGATAACATTGCATTTAAAAGTTTTAAAGATCAAAGCTGACTGCGAAGCAAAAAAGCGATAAAAAGTTCCACAAGAGAGAAAGTGATACAAGAAACATTTAGCACAGAACCTTTACATCTAATCATTTCAAGTGTAAAATGACCTAGAACTGTGTTTAAATTCATAAAGTCTAGGTACCATCGCGGAATGTTCGTCATAACAATTATCATTGAAGTATTTATAGAAAAGGCAGAGGGAAGCTAGTTACGGCGGTGAGAAAGTGACTGACCCTGAGATGCCAGATCAGGACCAATAACATTGCAGATTCTTCTTTTGACTTTAATTAAGAATCTCTCTATGTATATCAGGAGCACCGGATCAGATGTGGCAGCAATATCCAAGGCTGGAACGAATGTAGATATGTAAAATAAACATCCGGCGAGAACAGTTATATATAGTAAACCAATTTTCTTAACTGCAGACTTACCAATTAATTCAATATACTTTTTCTACTTCATGTTAGCGGAAAACGATAGTCCAAGAAGGCGTAAGGAATCATTCTCCTGGAGGTTAGCATCAGTTATGCTGATGGAAGGTAAAAAGAATTCTATCAGATGATTAAGTGACACCGGTTTCGTTCTTTGAAGCGTTAAATTTAACAAGCCATTCTTTGCCCCATTTAACAACAGATTATAGGTTGTATCATTATCGTTGAATTATGTTGCGTTAAAAATTATAGAAAAAAATATTTACACTATTTATATTCGGACTATCACAACCTTTCGATGATTGTACCCTCCAGCCTACTTTATGTTTATGTCGAACTGGGTAACATAGTGAAAACTGAACTGGACCCTTTATTTAATCTACAGAGATTGACTGTTGTATTTTTACTATTTGCCCGTTTCCAGGGATTGAACTCACAACCATTATGTCACCAAATTCTAAAACCAACACTTTTATCTACTTTGCCATTGTTCCGTGGATTCAGTGGAAACGTGCTAGCAATAACTGAACAGTACTAGACAGAAATAAGAATTAGACGATATCCCTAGACATGGTCAGTGGAACGAGAACAGTCTATCCCCGTAGATGAAATAAAGGCTTCAGTTAAGGATTCCCTGTCAGTTATCCAGACTGATATACACCTGAGGAAGGCAGAAGGAGAAAACGGCTGAAACGTTATAATACAAGATGTTGACAATAATCCGAATGTAAATAGTATAAGTAATGATAACTACCCATCCCATTAATTTAGACAGAAATTAAAGAATCTATTTTCATCACAGATAACGTTTTAGAAATGAATCATTCTTGTTGCAAGCCAGCAGTAATGAAAAGTAAGACGAATCAATTTCTAATTCTGTATAAGCTTGGAAGAATTTCATTCATTTGATTTCTTTCGCATTTCGTATGACCACCAAACAACGGGAAAAGGGTCATAAAATTCCCTAGGTTTGCTGTGAACTTGGAGTGTTCTATGGCTATCTTCCACTGTTTTGTGTCATATTAAAGATATTCGTGATTTTCTAAAGTTTATTTTCATTATCCCCGCATCCGGTGTGAAATTTCGGAAACCACTCCTCACTAATTGATATTTCGTTTGCCAAATGCTAAGTTAGTTTTTCTCACTGCTATTAAGTTTGTATAAAATGAATAATATTTCTTTCTGCACAATGAATTTTATGATAATTGAAATGCGGGCTAAAATATCATAATGTAATATATTCAATAATACAATTCCTACCTATCGCTTAACGACTCGAAAGTATGTCTTTGCAAATAATGAGAATAAAAAGCAAATTCATGAGCTACTTCTAAAGGAATGGGCGCCATATTTTACGAAGATACATGCGACTAATCATATTTTACCTAAATTGCTTTTATGCAATCATTAACTAGAGTTAATTGTTTGGTTGACTGCTTATCTACACATAAAGCGAGATAAATGACTAATACTTTTGAAATATTCACTTTGTTTCAAATACTTTACACCAATCAGAAATCAGGGGAAAATCGTATATTTAATTTCAGTCAAATATAAATCGGCTTTGTTATGTATGGTGCGATGGCAAAAAGAAAAATATTCTTTTTTTTTTTTTTTTCGTTATTTTGTTTTTCTTAATTTACATCAAGCAAGTCGAAAGGTCACTAAGGCGCAAGGGGCTACTGGGAGTGAAAGAGAATGAAATGACTTTAGAAGGAAATAGAAACCTAACCCTAAAGTAGTTTTTTAATCCAAATGCCAGATGAGATTTTCTCCTTGCATAAAAAGAGTAAGCGTTCTTGCTCCAAGGACATGTTCTGAAAGATAAAAAATAAATTTCGTGATAAATAAAAATCCTGAACATCAAGGCAGAATCATAGAATATCCAGATGTGCGATATTAAATAGAAAAAAAAAACATACCTCTTGATTAACGATTCTAAAATGGTCATTACAAGCTGTAAGAACAAAAACCAAATTCAAAAACCATTCCAGAAAAAAACTAGTGTCTTACTTTAAGAATTCACATACAATTAATCTTATTTAGCTTACAGTGGTTTTACGCTGTTCTTAATTATAACTTGTTCGATTGACAGGTTGCCAAAGTGTGATCACATGGCTCATGATAAAGCTAAAATTATCACAAATATTTTCAACCAATCAGAGATCAGAAAATAACAATGTAGTTAATGTCCGTCAAATGAAAAGCGGCTCAATTTTGTATGATGCAATAGCGAATGCAAAATATTTTCATTTTTCTAAGCTCTAATTAACCTGAAAAATCCGGGATCAGTTGAGAAAATTGTATTGTTATATATATATATATATATATATATATATATATATATATATATATATATATATATATATATATATATATATATATATATATATATATATAATACAATTTTCTTCTCAAATGATCCTGAATTTGTCAGAATTAATTAGAGCTTAGAAAAATGAAAATTTGATTTGCGTTTTAATATATATATATATATATAGATAGATAGATAGATAGATAGATAGATAGATAGATAGATAGATAGATAACTAGACTCGTTTTGAAAAACCCTCGAATTTTTGATTTGCTAATCAAATCAATTTCGAGGGAAAAAAGGTTTTTAAAAAGAAAGAGCTACAAACATGAACTTCTGCCGACAAAAAAAAATCGCACAGATGCAGGTCTGAAGCCCAAAGAAAAAACCCTGATACGAGTAACAACTAACTAACAAAAGAGCTCAATACAACCGTAGAGAGATTTAGATATTTAGTGAGCCAGACAAACCTACCTAGGTTTCACCTAAACGGATCGTCAGGAAAGTTTGACTGACGATCCGTTTAGGTGAAGCCTAGGTAGGTTTGTCTGGCTCACTAGGTATATATATATATATATATATATATATATATATATATATATATATATATTAAAATACTTAACTAGGCTTTTATGCATATCAATCCAACAGATTTGATAAAAATGTATTGATCTCATGATTTAGTGACTGTTGTACTTACTGATAATGCTATGCAGCTAAACCTAGCCATATCACCCAACGCTCAGCTTTGAGGTAATTAATTTTATTATTTTTTTCCTAATTTCATAGAATTTACAATATCTACAGTACTCAGAAACACTTAAGATGAATTGAGAAAACGTATTTTGTCAAACAATTGTTAAATACACATTTTAAAACGGATAAGAACGATATTTTGAATATGCCAGTTATAATACATTTGAAAATGTATATATTTTCCTAAGGGAACGTAATGAGGAAAGAGCATTTGGAAAATTTAATACTCACAGGACAAAATGAAGGCAAGAGAGATAGTGAGAAACTACGAAGATGGAAGAACAGTGTTTGGGAGAGATAACAAAAAGACAAAAGGGACAATTGTTGAGAGGCATGATCACCAACGTCCTGAAGAGAAACGACAAGAAGAAGAAGAAGAAGAAGAAGAAGAAGAAGAAGAAGAAGAAGAAGAAGAAGAAGAAGACTTTAGTGATGATCTGGTTTACATGTCTTTACTGATGATGTGGGTTACATGTCTTTACTGATGATCTGTAGAATCGGCTCCCAGGATGATCTGGTTTACATGTCTTTACTGATGATGTGGGTTACATGTCTTTACTGATGATCTGTAGAATCGACTCCCAAGATGATCTGGTTTACATGTCTTTACTGATGATGTGGGTTACATGTCTTTACTGATGATCTGTAGAATCGACTCCCAAGATGATCTGGTTTACATGTCTTTACTGATGATGTGGGTTACATGTCTTTACTGATGATCTGTAGAATCGACTCCCAAGATGATCTGGTTTACATGTCTTTACTGATGATCTAGGTTACATGACTTTACTGATGATCCGGGTTACAGGACTTTACTGATGTTCTGTGTTACATGACATTACTGATGCTCTGGATTACATGTCTTTACTGATGATGTGGGTTACATGTCTTTATTGGTGATCTGTGTTACATGTCTTTACTGGTGACTTGGGTTACATGACTTTACTGATGATTTGGGTTACATGTCTTTACTGATGACCTAATGGTACGCGCGCTCACATTCATAAAAATTAGTGAATTGAAATATAAGCCTAGATAGACTAATAAGGAGAGTGTTCAGATGAATTACACTCCCCAGTATTACCAGTCCTAACCTTCACGTCTAAGACCCGTCATGCCACGCCTATTGTAGCGAACCAATTTCATTCCCTTCATATTCCACTGGTGAGATGTAAGTTTCACTCAAACAGTTTCTTCCCATGAAATTCACCTTGTAGAATCGACTCCCAAGATGCTGCTTCTCCGACCACTAGTATCTTATGTCTAGAGTTAACCGTTATCTTCCACGCATATCCGCAAAAGCTGTGCCTCTTAATCTGTAACACTTTACATCGAATGGCTCCCGTGCCTTGTACAGGGTGAACACCACTGTAAAAAAAATATATAGAATTTGGTTGGAAAGAAATAACGGTATCAGAATCTTTGAAAACAGTAGTTGAGTTATAGATTTTGTTTTTCTAATGAAATTATATTCCTTAAATTGTCATAGATGATCATTAATCGTCAATTAAGAGCCAGATCAGACCGAATATGGAGACAGCTGCCATATTTGGGCTGGAGCTGCTCAGTCTTCTCTTTCCACTCTTGATAACGATCAAAAGTATCTACCCCTTTCCCCCAGACGAAATATCGCTAACTTCTTCCAACTATCTCAATATTACTCTAGTAAATGTTCTCACCATTTATATTCCTTAGTTCCACCAGTCCAGACACTTACAGATAGTATCCGTCATGCAAATCATCCCCATTGCCTTCATGTTCCATTAGTAAGAAGTAAATTACACACTTTAACAGCTGCCTCTTACGAACATCTACTCTGTGGAACAGACTCCCAAGAGGTTACTTTCCCGACCACTACAGTCTTAACCTCATCAGGTCATGGGTTAACCGTTATCTTTGCCACTTATCCTCATAAACTGCGCCTCTTGTTCTTATCGCTCGCACAATAATATTCAGTAGCCCTCTACCTTGAGTTGTTCTTGGGCATTTTATTCTTAAGCTGTTGTTATAGTGTCCTCTTTCTCAAGTGTCTATGTTAGACTCTTCCGCCTACTATAAGTTTAGTATGAAAACACTGGGAACAGTCAACAGTGTACTGTGAATAAATTGAGCGATAGTTCATTTGATACACTCTTACTAGTCGTGTACTTTCTGGTGTACTTACCGTTTAATATCCTTCTGGTGTACTTACTGTTTAATATTCAATATACCGGCAAACCTGTTTTTTTTGTTATTACTTAACCATTTATTTGGTCCCAATAGCTCTTTAAAAAAGACAAAAAAGCAAAGGAAGAAACTGATGAGAATGGGAGAGGTCGTATTTGAAACAAAATTTAAAAGAAAACTTATTCTTTATTACTTTGCTTGGCGGGTGGTGGTGAAATATATTTTAAAAATCGTAAGAAACCACCTAACCGAATCTATTAATGCAGCTCTTAGGCAAAACAAACCTTATATTGTTATGCAGCCCTGGTAACGCTGTAACCTGAACAACGAGGTTACAAAGCATTTTTATTTCATGTGTTTTGCTCTATTTCACTTCTTTCTATCTCTTCTCTCCTACTCCTCCTATAGTTTTGCTTGTCCTTCCACCCCGTTCAGTATATAGGCACACTTACTCCGAACAATTATCATACACAGTAATCACCACCCGCCCAGCATACTAACTGATAAATATATAAGCGGCTTTCAGCAAACGTTTTTGTGTCAGTTTTGGACAAGATCAATAGAGAAAAACTTCAAGTCACAGTAAGTATTTCTTGTTATTTTAACTATATTTTCTGATTCTGATATTATTTCTGAAGTTGTCAATACGATGAAGGATACAATTGTTCTCTTACTAATAAAATTTGAAATAACATACACAGCAACTTGTTAGCAATAAGTCAATGTATTCATATTTTTTTTACGTAACCTACAAGCGTGGAGTAATGGATAGCGGCTCGGACTGAGAAATTCCAGTCGAATCCATTACCTTCACTTATGTACTAATACCCTTGGGAAAGATATGAATCCTGTTCTTCTTCCCTCTGTTATCGGTAAATAGCAGGTTAATAGTCTTTGATGGCAACTGGTCTATCGCAGAAAGTCTTGATGGCAACTGATGTATCGCAGAAAGAAATGGCAACCTACTGCGGAAAAAATCTGTCTCGTCAGTCATGTATCGAAAAATACATGATCGCCTAAGTGTGTATCAAGATGACACATACCTGAACCTACAGTTTATATTTTCTTTATAAATCTTCTTATTGTAGATTTAGTAGTAACTTTAAAGCTAATAAAGCCATTTGAAGAGCAAATAGAACATCGGTATTTTCTGGTTGTTTAACAGAACTTATTGTTAAAATAAACATAAATGAAATAGGATTTCCTTTAAAATATACAACACAAGTTCAATACTAACTTACGACACTTTATAAATATAGGATATATAAGATTAAGGATATATGTCACAAAAACACTTATGGTTAATTTTATATCTTTTAAAAAATTAAAACTATTTTTAATTTTACAAATTCTCAGCGTCTCTCATCGGCTTGTGCGCATGTGCATTTGCATCAACATCAATATAAGCTTAGTCCGATGAGATCCTAAACGATAAAACGCGTCAGACAAAAAAAAAGTTTTCCATTTTATCATATATTTTTCTCGCAAATTGTTCTTGTTATATATTTATATATATATATATATATATATATATATATATATATATATATATATATATATATATAACGTTCTCTCATTTTATATCTGTAATAAGAAAAATAGAAATGATGAAATTATCTTGTGTAATATCTTTGAAGAAAGGCAAGTATTTCGGAATATGTCTAAAATGGTTTTATTTTCAATTAAGCAATTTTTTTCATTCTTTTGAATCAATTGTATCAAAATACTTTAATATATAGAATCCAGATATCGGCCCTATGACAGATTCTATTAGCTGTAAGCCTTCCCGTTCTTTTTAGTAGTATGTCATTTTATATTCCAGTGATCTGACAATGACGTTTTCGTTACTCAAATATATATATATATATATATATATATATATTGAAAAAATAAAGTTTTACGTTGGATGGGAACGCTGATAAATGTCTGAATTCTATGAATAAGATTTAAACCCGAAAAAAATGTATCGTTTTAAATTCCTGTTTTAATCAGAGAAAAAAAAGTATCTTTATGGGATTGAGTCTTGTAATCATCTTTGTCATTAGTATTATAATTCCATCCACATATAAATATGATAAAATATTTGGAACTTTCCCTTTCGTACTTTATTTTTAGGACGTTATTCCTTTGTAGTAACTTCTTATATCGTAAAATAAAAAAATGCTTCAATCAATAGATAGCATTTATAAACTGGTTTTAATTATTAGAAATATCACTATTAAAACTACATGCTATTGTAACATTAGACATTACTAAGTGGATCATGATTAAAGACTCACTTTTATCTACAGTTATGTAGATTTCTGTGTCGTGAAAGTTTATATTTAATTTCTTGGTTTTATTCTCTCCTGTGTATTCCCTTCTCTCTATTTTCCCCTCTGCCTTTATTTCTCTTTTTCATTCAGAAAATTTGTTTTTTTTTTATATAGATTATGCTTGAATCAAGTTATGTCCATCGGTTTTTTCAAATAATTTAAACTTATTTTGCCATGTAATATTTCTTAATATAATTTTAGGTAAATCAGAAATTACAAGAAATTAAATGTGTTTAAGATTTTCTTTAGCGTATAAACTCTTGTAAATGGAGAATATTCAGGCAATTAAAAAAGTTTACGCAAATATTAATGAGTCTATTCATATTTTCAGCTACAATGATTTTAATTTTGTATTATTTCCTGATCAATATTTTTATAAAATTCAAATCCCATAATCATTTCCCTTGAGTTCGATTAACGTTTCTATAATTCAACGATATTTTATCGATTTCCTTCTGTCTATCTAATCACATTTCAAACTTGATATATATTGTCTAATGAGCAAATGAGGGATATCACATAATGAATATACAGATTGAAAATACCGTTAATGTTTATTTTAATGGAACTTAACTCGTTCATTTGAAAGAAATTCAACAGCCAGCATGTACGATTTGATTCAGGAGTGAAATGCAGGATTTTAATTACCGAATTAATTCAAACTGTTCCAGAAGATTTTTGGTTTGGTTTGTTTCACGGCATATCAACCTCAATGAGTTATTTAATGCCGACAACTTTTTTTTCCGGGTAATATTTTGTTTTGTCAAAAATCTATTTCTGATAATATTTTCTTCCTCAAACATGCATAGCTGGTAATATTATTTTAAAAAGTGTATTGCTGGTAATATTTTCTTCCACAAAAATGTATAGTTGGTAATATTTTCTTCCACAAAAATGTATAGCTGGTAATATTTTGTTTTGTTAAAAATCTATTTCTGGTAATATTTTCTTCCTCAAAAACGCATAGCTGGTAATATTATTTTAAAAAATGTATTGCTGGTAATATTTTCTTCCTCAAAACTGTATAGCTGGCAATATTTTGTTTTGTCAAAAATCTATTTCTGGTAATATTTTCTTCCTCAAAAATGTATAGCTGGTAATATTATTTTAAAAAGTGTATTGCTGGTAATATTTTCTTCCTCAAAAATGTAGAGCTGGTAATATTTTGTTTTGATAAAAATCTATTTCAGGTAATATTTTCTTCCTCAAAAATGCATAGCTGATAATATTATTTTTAAAAATGTATTGCTGGTAATATTTTCTTCCTCAAATATGTACAGCTGGCAATATTTTGTTTTGTCAAAAATCTATTTCTGGTAATATTTTCTTCCTCAAAAATGCATAGCTGGTAATATTATTTTTAAAAATGTATTGCTGGTAATATTTTCTTCCTCAAAAATGTACAGCTGGCAATATTTTGTTTTGTCAAAATCTATTTCTGGTAATAGTTTCTTCCTCAAAATTGCATAGTTGGTAATATTATTTTAAAAAGTGTATTGCTGGTAATATTTTTTCCTCAAAATGTATAGCTGTTAATATTTTGTTTTGATAAAAATCTATTTCTGGTAATATTTTCTTCCTCAAAATGCATAGTTGGTAATATTATTTTAAAATGTATTGCTGGTAATATTTTCTTCCTCAAAAATGTATAGCTGGCAATATTTTGTTTTTGTCAAAAATCTATTTCCGGTAATGTTTTCTTTCTTCAAAAATGCATAGCTGGTAATATTATTTTAAAAAGTGTATTGCTGGTAATATTTTCTTCCTCAAAAATGTATAGCTGGCAATATTTTGTTTTGATAAAAATCTATTTCTGGTAATATTTTCTTCCTGAGAAATGCATAGCTGGTAATATTATTTTAAAAAATGTATTGCTGGTAATATTTTCTTCCTCAAAAATGTATAGCTGGCAATATTTTGTTTTGATAAAAATCTATTTCTGGTAATATTTTCTTCCTCAAACATGTATAGATGGTAATGTTATTTTAAAAAGTGTATTGCTGGTAATATTTTCTTCCTCAAAAATGTACAGCTGATAATATTTTGTTTTGTTAAAAATCTATTTCTGGTAATATTTTCTTCCTCAAACATGTATAGATGGTAATATTATTTTAAAAAGTGTATTGCTGGTAATATTTTCTTCCTCAAAAATGTATTGCTGGTAATATTTTGTTTTGCTAAAAATCTATTTCTGGTAATATTTTCTTCCTCAGAAATGCATAGCTGGTAATATTATTTTAAATAATATATTGCTGGTAATATTTTCTTACTCAAAAATGTATAGCTGGCAATATTTTGTTTTGATAAAAATCTATTTCTGGTATTATTTTCTTCCTCAAACATGTATAGATGGTAATATTATTTTTAAAAATGTATAGCTGGTAATATTTTGTTTTGTTAAAAATCTATTTCTGGTAATATTTTCTTCCTCAAAAATGCATAGCTGGTAATATTATTTTTAAAAAATGTATTGCTGGTAATATTTTCTTCCTCAAAAAATGTATAGCTGGCAATATTTTGTTTTGTCAAAATCTATTTCCGGTAATGTTTTCTTCCTCAAAAATGCATAGCTGGTAATATTATTTTAAAAAGTGTATTGCTGGTAATATTTTCTTCCTCAAAATGTATAGCTGGCAATATTTTGTTTTGATAAAATCTATTTCTGGTAATATTTTCTTCCTGAGAAATGCATAGCTGGTAATATTATTTTAAAAAATGTATTGCTGGTAATATTTTCTTCCTCAAAAATGTATAGCTGGCAATATTTTGTTTTGATAAAAATCTATTTCTGGTAATATTTTCTTCCTCAAACATGTATAGATGGTAATGTTATTTTAAAAAGTGTATTGCTGGTAATATTTTCTTCCTCAAAATGTACAGCTGATAATATTTTGTTTTGTTAAAATCTATTTCTGGTAATATTTTCTTCCTCAAACATGTATAGATGGTAATATTATTTTAAAAAAGTGTATTGTTGGTAATATTTTTTCCTCAAAAATGTATTGCTGGTAATATTTTGTTTTGCTAAAAATCTATTTCTGGTAATATTTTCTTCCTCAGAAATGCATAGCTGGTAATATTATTTTAAATAATATATTGCTGGTAATATTTTCTTACTCAAAAATGTATAGCTGGCAATATTTTGTTTTGATAAAAATCTATTTCTGGTATTATTTTCTTCCTCAAACATGTATAGATGGTAATATTATTTTAAAAAATGTATAGCTGGTAATATTTTGTTTTGTTAAAAATCTATTTCTGGTAATA